GTCATGTCAAAAACGAAATAATTGATGAATCGCAAAAAGAGATCACGTACACCCTCGCGATCGATCGCGCGCACGAGGACTAGCATCACGCACACGCCGGCCAGGGAGGCTCTCCGCGCGCTTGAGTCATGACAAAACCGGTAACCAGTGGTAACACACCGACAGTACAGTTCTGGCGCCAGAATTACAGAAATTCCGCCTTCTATAATTCTCTTCAGAATTGATGGATTCGACGGAATGGATAAAATCTAACGACGGAATTTGTCACTTTTTGTGTAATCGACAATAACTAATTCTAGAAATGCCGAAATGCGTGTAATCGAAAGCGACCGTAAACTACGTTTTAGTTGATGTGAGTGCATGGTAGAGGGGACGGTTTCAAATAGGACACAGGTTGCAAACCGGAACGGACTCAATATTCACTTTCTCTCTTGGTATTTTGATTAGAAAACATAATTATGTCACAGTGAGACTACGATGTGTTATACTCCGAGCCAAAATGTCATGGCTCTGCGATGACCAGAATCGCCATATCAAGCAGGTGAGTTTTTGACGTGTTGCTACGCACTGCGACTTGAGTTTTACGACTTTCGAAAAATCATTTTCTTGTCGCAGGTAAACAGCGGCTCGCCTCTCGCCAATAAAGCACCGCATACCAATCAAAACCAATGGAAGCACACACAAGGCTTATTGTTACTCTGTACTGGCCGTCGTGGAGCGATAGCAATAGACCGATCCCCTTATTATTGTCTGGGTTCGAGCAAGGGGGCAACTCCGCAGTCGCGTGGGATCCTGCTGCACACACGCGACCAACCTCACCTCGGCTTTGCGTGACTTCTCGCATGCGAAGTGCAGAGCACGCGAAATCTACACGCAGTGCAAGCCTGTCTACAAAAAATGCCACAAGGACTTTTGATTTGAGCTGTTTTGTTTTTGTTTAGACGTCTTCCTTTTTACGACTTCAGGATGCCTTCTCAGGATCATTGCTGCGTTCCTCACTGTCAGAACAGGAGGACGAAGCAAACAAGTCATTTCACTCCTTTCATCGTGTGGAGCCACAGCGGCCTGGAGCAAGCGGATCCAGGCTATTCCCCGTGAGGAAGGACGTAGTTTTAGGGTCACTCTGAATATTTGAGATGCAGCGATCATTTCGATCCCGAAGTCGAAATCGTTTTGCCCAGCTCTACAAGGGCAGGATGAGTCCAGGAAACCAAACAGCTGTCCAACGGTACCAGGTTAGCTTTTCGCAAGAGAGTGGAGTCTGGACGCTCTGCTCCCCATGCTCGCAAAACAGTATTTGCTGAGCCTAGTGCAGTTCGGTCATGGAAGTGCAGCGTCTGCATCACGAGCTCCCCATGCTCGCAAACCAGTATTTTGCTGAGAGGCAACGGCATTTTGAGTTGGAAAGGAACCTGGCTTAGTGCAGTTTGGTCCTGTAATGGAAGTGCAGCATCTGCATCAGGAGTTGGCAGCAAGCAGAGCTCGTGTACAGAGTCTCATGGAGCAGTTGGACGATGGGGTGAAGAAAGCCGAAAAACAGCTTACGTACAATAACATAAAGAAAGACTCTGAGCCGCGCCAGTTTCTGACTGGTTTGCCTTCAGGTGTTTGGACCGCTCTGTGGGACTTCTTTGAGCCTAGCCGAGAAAATGTACTGCGCCGAGCCAGATCTGCGAAGACGGAAGCTGAGGGACGGCGGATACAGTTGGAGGTGGCCGTAAATCGCCAACGAGCATGTAACGGAGGATCAGCTGCTATTGGCATTGATGTGTCTAAGCCTGGGCCGAATGGGACAGAAGCTGTAATGCGTGGCACAAGTTAATCATCCGTTTCACGGTATATACTATATAGCTAGCTGAGCTGGAAAGTTGTCTTGTTCCTCCGTTTGGGCATGATCCCCATTTGGGCGAGCTGGCGAGATGTTCAGTCATCAATGCCATGTACCGCAAGACATTCTGCATTGTGGATGAAACAGTTCTATTTTGCCATGCACTTAGGGTTCTCGCACCGGCACAACAAGACCCAACAGATCCTTGCACTCTTATTTTCTCCCATGGTAACATTGCTGATCACAACACCCAGTAGCCAGTCGCAGATGCAACCAAATCAACCAGATTCTCTTACTCTTTTTTTCCAATACTGAAACCAAAGGTATACCAATATTTGCATCGAATGCAGTGATGATTTCAATACTGTCCACTAGTACAACGCATTACCAGACTGGCATATAATCATGATAATATTATCCATTTCGCAATCACTGTCATTGCTTTCTTAGATCTTCAATCATCAATATCGGACCATAAACCGTCTATCATCTTCTATTATATCATCATTTGTATCCTGCTACTATCCTCCTCTAACGATGAGCTCGAAGAAAAGAAACAGCGGTCTAGAGGCGTAAACAATATCTGTCAACGGAAGTGTCCTTGCTGTGCTGGTGTGTTTATGCTTCGTGCATTAGTTCGGCCAAGAGCGCATGGTGGTGGCGGGTTGAGGATGTTAAATATACTAGAAAATAGTTCACTCTGAACGTGCAGGGGGGTATATTCATAGGTTCGAAAGAACCGCACACACACTTTGCTGCAGACAGCGGCAAGCTTTGGCCCTCGTGCTTCGAAGAGGGAGCAATCCACTGCGCTACGCTTGCGATTAACAGCAAGCTTCGACTTTTCAAAGGTACGACTCATCATTGGCTCTGGGGTAATGTTCCTGGAACAAATGCCCCATAGCCAACTGAGCGCCAGGGAGCACGCAATCTGCCTTCCTGGGCGAGAAGTGTTCCAGCACAAGAAGCAGCACGAATACATGCTAACAAAGACCACCATCACCACCAGCCGGCACACTGCACACTGTTCTTCAAACACCATCCACTCCGTCCATGTGTTTGCACTGTCCTCCTCTAGCTCTTCACGCTCAACAAATAACACGCACTGCTCATCGTTTTTTTATGCTTCCTCTGGGTTGGCTAGCCCTTCGACTTGACAAAACAGCGATCACCACTGCACTGCTATCGTCACCTCATAGCAGTCGCTTCCACCAGTGGCTTTTCCTGTCTTTGCAAGGTGTCCAAGGATGGCTGCTGTTGTCATTACAGGCAAATCAGAAGTACTTTAGTGGCTGATGTCCAACCAGATCGTTGGAAAATCGATTTTCCACTTCAGGGCTGCTGATCGCGACTTGGTGACTTGGCAGCACCACGGTTACCTTCATAGAAGATGGCTCTGGAGAGGAAAAGACAGACCAGAAAAAGGTTAATATTATCTTCAGCACCGATCGCAAGGAGAAAGAAATGTGGTCTGCTGTAGCCTAGGCACAAAATAAATCTCACAACACGATTCGCGATTCGAATATTTCAACAACAAAAAAACTCACCTCTGGAGTAACTCCTGTTTGTGGCCCGAGATCGTTCCCTCCCGCGCCTTGAAAAAATCCTGCAGCGGCATCACAGTCCATGTCTCTCTCGGAGACTCTGCTCCTACCAGCAGGAGGTTTAGCACCGCTCGAAGCCATCGCAAACTACTTGAACTAAGCAGAAGACATTCCAAAACAAACCTGAAACACACTGTCAAAGATGCTGTCACGTTCAAAAACTAGCTCGATCGCGAGTGAGGTTGCCCCCGTGCTCGAACCCAGTATAATAAGGGGATCGGTCTATTACCTAATTTCAGACCCAGAGTGAATTTGACGTGCACTCTAAAACGTGTCCGGTTTGGAGCCACCTCTGATTTGAACTTTTTTGAAGCGAAAAATTGGGCAACTTGGAGGCAATGGGTCAACACAAAGGAGTGGCTCAGTTCAATTGACTCTGGCCCCAGAGCAAACTTCAACATGCCAGTTTCCTTCCACAAACATATATTTCCAGTGAAAAATCAACGCTGATGGTCGGTTTGGGTCTTACACAAATTATTTGGCTGTCAAAGCGTCCCGGTATCGAGCCGTCCCCTCTGGCTCTACATGGTGTGACCGCTTGACAGTGACCATGGTGACACATCGCCATGCGCCACCGGACTGGCAATCATAATAGTCTGGCATACAACTCGGCGCTCGGGTGCACGCGATGCTGTCATAATAATCTGTGTAGACTAGGTATGTACTACTAGTACTAGTACTAGTAGTACTACCGTACTGGCAATATATGTTGCCGCGTAACGCGTAACGCAGGGGGGTGCGGCGTAACGCGCGACCAGGCTAGTGCGACAAATTTTCGTTGTGTTCGTAACGCGCGTCAGGCGGGATGCGGCGATCTTTTCATTGCAGTTTGCACTGCAAAGGCTGAAAACTGTGAAAGCACGTGTACCGCGTGGCAAAAAAAAAGGACTGCGGCAATATAGAAACCTGTGTAACGGCTCCTGTGCGACTTTGCATGTAACGCCCTGCGTGCGGCAAACATGTACCAATGTAACGCTTCATGGCCTCACTGCGGCAACATATATTGCCAGTACGGTAGTACTAGTAGTAGGCTAGACTAGCCAGCGCTCTGTACATGTACATGTACCTGTCTACTCGTACGATCGTGGAGTCGTGCGTTGAGGCCAAACATTTTTGAATCTGCTTGATGACAGAACTACAGCAATGGTCATAATCGAATGTTTGAAAGACGGTGAAGAGAACAAGTAATAGTGGCCTCGGTGTCCTAATCATTGAGACATTTGCTCCGGGAATATTCAGAGTTTCTATAGAACACTCGTAACAGTGGCCTCGGTGTCCTAATCATTGAGACATTTGCTCCGGGAATATTCAGAGTTTCTATAGAACACTCAGTGGTACATGGTGTTCATATCGCTCAGGCCAGGTTCCAGTGTGGCAATCCTTGCGCTCAGGCCAGGTTCCAGTGTGGCAATCCTTGCGCTCAGGCCAGGTACCAGTGTGGCAATCCTTGCGCTCAGGCCAGGTTCCAGTGTGGCAATCCTTGCGCTCAGGCCAGGTTCCAGTGTGGCAGTCCTTGCGCTCAGGCCAGGTTAGAGTGTGGCAATCCTTGCGCTCAGGCCAGGTTAGAGTGTGGCAGCTTGGAACTTAGCTGTGTGTATCGTGAGTAGTTCCACTCGCCACCAGACCATTGGACATTCTTGCCGGCGCTTTGTTCCAGTCGTCAGCAGTTCACCGGGTAATATGGAAGGTGAACGCTACGCTTTCCTCGTGGAGTGGTATGATTCGCTAGCGGGCATAGTGCGACGCTACAACTTCCTCTTCTATCCTAAAGATAACAGCGTGGAAATGGTGAGTTGCTCACTTGGTGGCACAATCGAGTGTACATGTACATAACCTCGGTACTCTGTGACCCTTGGTTATACAAATGCATGCTGTCTTGTCCCATGTTGTAATATTGGTGGTACAACCCAGTGTACATAACCTCGGTACTCTGTGACTCTTGGTTATACAAATGCATGCTGTCTTGTCCCATGTTGTAATAGCATGGTGATGTTCTTGAGCATACCATTGAAGGGCATCATGTTTTCTCGAACCCAGACATGCTCAGAATGTACTATATCCATACAAGTGAGCATGGATCTAACACCAACCCGCGCATGACATACACTCCCCCGAGTACACGCCCGCCCGCGCGCGCTTGCACACACACACACACACACACACACACACAAAACACATCAACACAAACACATGCACACAACAAAAACCTGGGTGTCGAGCCACTAGTAATAAATATGTCAAGAGAGAATGGACCATAACTAGTAACGTACAGGTCGTTTGCCCGTTACACACAGACCACAGCCTTAGTAATACCCATCACCACTCTCATCCCCCCACCCTTACACACAGAACACAGCCTTAGTAATACCCATTACCACTCTCATCCCCCCACCCTTACACACAGAACACAGCCTTAGTAATACCCATCACCACTCTCATCCCCCCACCCTTACACACAGAACACAGCCTTAGTAATACCCATCACCACTGTCATCCCCCCACCCTTACACACAGAACACAGCCTTAGTAATACCCATCACCACTCTCATCCCCCCACCCTTACACACAGAACACAGCCTTAGTAATACCCATTACCACTCTCATCCCCCCACCCTTACACACAGAACACAGCCTTAGTAATACCCATCACCACTCTCATCCCCCCACCCTTACACACAGAACACAGCCTTAGTAATACCCATCACCACTGTCATCCCCCCACCCTTACACACAGAACACAGCCTTAGTAATACCCATCACCACTCTCATCCCCCCACCCTTACACACAGAACACAGCCTTAGTAATACCCATCACCACTCTCATCTCCCCACCCTTACACACAGAACACAGCCTTAGTCATACCCATCACCACTCTCATCCCCCCACCCTTACACACAGAACACAGCCTTAGTCATACCCATCACCACTCTCATCCCCCCACCCTTACACACAGAACACAGCCTTAGTAATACCCATCACCACTCTCATCTCCCCACCCTTACACACAGAACACAGCCTTAGTCATACCCATCACCACTCTCATCCCCCCACCCTTACACACAGAACACAGTCTTAGTAATACCCATCACCACTGTCATCCCCCCACCCTTACACACAGAACACAGCCTTAGTAATACCCATCACCACTCTCATCCCCCCACCCTTACACACAGAACACAGCCTTAGTAATACCCATCACCACTCTCATCCCCCCACCCTTACACACAGAACACAGCCTTAGTAATACCCATCACCACTCTCATCCCCCCACCCTTACACACAGAACACAGCCTTAGTAATACCCATCACCACTCTCATCCCCCGTGTTATGTATCCCATATACAGCATTCATTATAATTATATTTTCGTCCGGGACAATATTAGTTTGATTCGGTTTGCTGTAAGACGGTTGCCTACAAAGCATGAAACTCCGGATCGCATCATATCCTGGTTTCTGCCTTTGTGTTTCTCTGTATGTGTGTGTATGTGTGTGTGTGTATATGTGTGTATGTGTGTGTATGTGTGTGTGTGTGTCTCTGTGTGTGTGTGTGTGTGTATGTGTGTTCTCCAACTTCACTTCAAGGTACCAGTGCATTTAGTGTCTGCTTCAATCAAAGCAGCGTGCTGTCTATACTGGTTACCCCAGCAAGTGTAGGGTGTGCATAGGCAACTGACTGTCTTGGCCGTTTTATGCCGATGTACTCCGTGTGGTGTAGACCAGGTGTGCACTGGTGGTCGATTCACATGGCTTCGCCAGTTGTGTGGATTAGACAGTTATCTGGCACAAGTCTTGATCTTTCTCATTCAGATCTTGTTCGCTATCGTTGCTATAAGGGAAAATCTGTGGGTGCACATCCAGTGGATTTGCAGATTTGCAGGCTTCTCTTGCGACGGGCGTATACATTATGGTATGTGTGTGTGTGTGTGCATTTGAGCCGTTTTTTGTCTATCTACCTGCCTGCCTGCCTGTCTTTCTGCCTATCTCTCTGTCTGTCTGTTTTTCTGCCTATCTCTCGCTCTGTCTGTCTGGCTGTCTGGCTTTCTGTCTGCTGTTGTGTGTTTCTGCCTATCGCCATGTGCAAAAATTGTAGATAGATGTGAAAAACAAGCGCATATTCCTGAAACGTACCAAGGAGGAGTCTATCAGGCTGGATCAGTGCTACATTGGTTCATCAGTTAATCTACATGGTCGACAGGTACGTACTGTACAGTCAGTGGTCATGTATACAGAGTACAGTCAGTGGTCATGTATACAGAGTACAGTCAGTGGTCATGTATACAGTATAAGTACAAATTTTTGTTTGGAATTAACTTTCGATATGTTCATCAGGGGCACAAAATAACTAAAGTTTCTACTAAACAAATTCACAGAGGCAATATGCTTTGGTTCTGCAAGAGTGCTCAATGCCTGATTCAGGCAGAGCGGCGTACACAAAGACGTTGTCTGATGATTGGTTCAGCCATGAAACTCTGAGTCACAACGGAATAAATTTGCCATGGTTTTCATTGTGTGCCTTTGTGTACTAAACAAATTCTGTACGTTCGGGGTGACAAACCTCGACCAAAAACGAAATTCAATACGTAACGAACCTGCTGATGGAGTGATGTAAGTAAAGATTTTCTAAATGAAATTTTGTATTTTATACAGTAGGGAGCACAGTGCTGTTGTCATCTCGTTTCTAGCACAGGGAATTTCAATTTGTGTTGGTTTTGTGGACATAACTTATTGTCTGTCTATCTATCTGTGTGTCCTCTTCATTGTCTGTGTGGTTGGGTGAATATGTGTGTGTGTGTGTATGTGTGTGTTTGTGTGTGTGTGTGTGTGTGTGTGTGTGTGTGTGTGTGTGTGTGTGTGTGTGTGTGTGTGTGTGTGTGTGTGTGTGGGGGGGGGTGGGTGGGTGGGTGTGTGTGGGGGTGTGTGTGTGTGTGGGTGTTGGTGTATGCGTGTATGCGTGTATGCGTGTGCGTGTATTTGTCTCCTTTGTTGTGTGCGTGTGTGTGCATGCGTGTGGGGGTATGCGTCTCCTTTGGTGTGTGTGTGTGTGTGTGTGTGTGTGTGTATGTGTGTGTGTGTGTATGCGTCTCCTTTGATGTGTGTTTGTGTGTGTTTTCTTCCATGGGATCCTTGCCGATGGCTGTCAACCGCGGTACCTAGCTGAAGTTTGTAGAGTACTCTGACACTTTCACCAAGACTAAACTCTCCATGGCGAAAGAAAAGTAAGACGAATAAACGATGTTGATGCAATAACTTCAGAGCAGCAATACAAATGGGATGAATTCTGCCGTGGTCACCACTCATCAACGAAGTCATGAAGGTTTTCCAAAATCGATGTTGAGTGCGTTGATTTGTGGTAATGACGGTAGAATTTATCCCATTTATTGGTATTTTAAAGTAAGATGCAGCTCCTAAACGGTGGGGAAGGATAGATCAGATCCACCAACCATAGGCCAAAGGAGCCTGATCATGGGGTGGTGGCGTCCCACGGAAGCGGAAAGGTGGTTCTTGACCAGGGAGTTGTAGGACTCCTTGTTCTTGACCTGCCTGGTACGCGAACCCGTCGAAATTATTTTATTTTTTAAATATTTTTTTAAAAGTAAGACGAAGCATATCTTTTGTCAACCACCACACCACAACTGCGCTCTGCAGCCGACCTCGACACATTGCCACAGCTTACCATCAGCAAGTGACACATCCATGGCATTGGTACCCGGTTCCTTGGTACTGCTATTTTCAGTACAGAACAGAACAACAAGTCTGTATTACGCTCTGCCTCCGCCGTGTTGAGCACTGTCAGCACACTGGCTACACCCTGCGGCTATTTTCTGTATCAAACTCTCGTCAGTGACCGTAGATATTGCAGAATGGCTAAGATAGTGAAAAATACCCTTGTCAGTACCAAAGGGGTAAGCATAATTGCACGCCTCAGGAAGAATAGGGCCAAGCAAAATGACCAAATGCGAACACTGAAAACAAAGCGGATAATGTACAGACGTGATAATATGAGTTGATGGTGCTAACAGCCGGGTGTAAATTTTCGATAGACGAGCCCATGGCCCGTCGAGCGATATTCTGTGAGCGTGTGTGTTTTCAACACTGCTACTTTATTGATAAGCTACGGCAGTGTCATGGAAACTGAAGAATGCCTGTCACAGGATGTGATGAGACGATGGTGAGGTGCGGTGTGGTGCCGGAGTGGACGCAGTGCATGCCTCGGGGGCCTCTCAAGTTGCTACTTGCTATGTGTAGTGGTGTGTATGAAATTCACACCTGACTATTAGCACTATCAACTCATATCATCACGTCTGTACATTGTCCCCAGTTTAGTTTTTAACACTGTTTTGCATTTGGTCATTTTGCTTAGCCTTGGGGCGCGTTCGGTTGGTACGACCTAGAACAGGATTCACCAGAATAGCGCATTTGGTTGGGACTGCACCTGTTCTGGGTCGGCCAGAACATGTTCTGCTTGCTCCGGCCTCGAGGCCGGAGCAGACCGAGTAGTTTCACTTTTTCACAGTGAAACCTGACAAGAATATCGATTTTGGTCCCGAATGATCACGTGCATGCGCGCTTGGGTTGGGCTCGTCGTACCGTACAAAGTGACCATGGTGACCCATACACTTTTTGAAGAATGCACCAAGTTTGGCATATTTTTCACAACAAAATGTGCTCTGTTTCTGGAGTACCGTTTGGTTGGCATGAAGGTGCTCTATGTGCACCAGCTGTTCCATCCTGTTCTAGATTGTACCAACCAAACACACCCCTATTCTATGTGCCTCAGGCGTGCGCATTGTGCTTACCGCTTCGGTACAAAACGGTGATTTTCACTATCTTATCCATTCTACATTATCTACAGTCAGTGAAAATAGTTTTATACTCGAAACAGCATTGTGTGTATGAAGGAACAGAGTACCAAAGGTTGTGTCGCTTTGCTGGTGGTGTGCTGTGGCAATGTCGTGTCGAGGTCGGCTAGAGAGCGTAGTTTTGGTGTAGTGGTGTGCTGTGGCAACGTTGTGTCGAGGTCGGCTAGAGAGGGTAGTTCTGGTGTGGTGGTGTGCTGTGGCAATGTTTTGAGGTCGGCTAGAGAGCGTAGTTCTGGTGTGGTGGTGTGCTGTGGCAATGTGTCGAGGTCGGCTAGAGAGCGCAGTTCTGCAGTGGTGGTGTGCTGTGGCAACGTGTCGAGGTAGGCTAGGGAGCGCAGTTCTGGTGTGGTGGTGTGCTGTGGCAATGGTGTGTCGAGGTCGGCTAGAGAGCGCAGTTCTGGTGTAGTGGTGTGCTGTGGCAACGTTGTGGCGAGGTCGGCTAGAGAGCGCAGTTCTGGTGTAGTGATGTGCTGTGGCAACGTGTCGAGGTCGGCTAGAGAGTGCAGTTCTGGTGTCGTGGTGTGCTGTGGCAACGTTGTGTCGAGGTCGGCTAGAGAGCGTAGTTCTGGTGTAGTGGTGTGCTGTGGCAACGTGTCGAGGTCGGCTAGAGAGCGTAGTTCTGGTGTGGTGGTGTGCTGTGGCAATGTGTCGAGGTCGGCTAGAGAGCACAGTTCTGGTGTGGTGGTGTGCTGTGGCAATGTGTCGAGGTCGGCTAGAGAGCGCAGTTCTGCAGTGGTGGTGTGCTGTGGCAATGTGTCAAGGTCGGCTAGAGAGCGCAGTTCTGGTATGGTGGTGTGCTGTGGCAATGTGTCGAGGTCGGCTAGAGAGCATAGTTCTGGTGTGGTGGTGTGCTGTGGCAATGTGTCGAGGTCGGCTAGAGAGCGCAGCTCTGCAGTGGTGGTGTGGTGTAGCAACGTGTCGAGGTCGGCTAGAGAGCGTATTCCTGGTGTGTTGGTGTGCTGTGGCAATGTGTCGAGGTCGGCTAGAGAGCGCAGTTCTGGTGTGCTGGTGTGCTGTGGCAATGTGTCGAGGTCGGCTAGAGAGCATAGTTCTGGTGTGCTGGTGTGCTGTGGCAATGTGTCGAGGTCGGCTAGAGAGCGCAGTTCTGCAGTGGTGGTGTGCTGTGGCAATGTGTCGAGGTCCGCTAGAGAGCGATGTTCTGGTGTGGTGGTGTGCTGTGGCAATGTGTCGAGGTCGGCTAGAGAGCGCAGTTCTGGTGTGGTGGTGTGCTGTGGCAATTAGTCGAGGTCGGCTAGAGAGCGCAGTTCTGGTGTGGTGGAGTGCTGTGGCAATGTGTCGAGGTCGGCTAGAGAGCATAGTTCTGGTGTGGTGGTGTGCTGTGGCAATGTGTCGAGGCCGGCTAGAGAGCGCAGTTCTGCAGTGGTGGTGTGCTGTGGCAACGTGTCGAGGTCGGCTAGAGAGCGCAGTTCTGGTGTGGTGGTGTGCTGTGGCAATGTGTCGAGGTCGGCTAGAGAGCGTAGTTCTGGTGTGGTGGTGTGCTGTGGCAACGTGTCGAGGTCGGCTAGAGAGCGCAGTTCTGGTGTGATGGTGTGCTGTGGCAATGTGGTGAGGTTGGCTAGAGAGCGCAGTTGTGCAGTGGTGGTGTGCTGTGGCAATGTCGTGTCGAAGTCGGCTAGAGAGCGTAGTTCTGTTGTGGTGGTGTGCTGTGGCAACGTGTCGAGGTCGGCTAGAGAGCGCAGTTCTGGTGTGATGGTGTGCTGTGGCAACGTGTCGAGGTCGGCTAGAGAGCGCAGTTCTGGTGTGGTGGTGTGCTGTGGCAATGTGTCGAGGTCGGCTAGAAAGCGTAGTTCTGGTGTGGTGGTGTGCTGTGGCAACGTGTCGAGGTCGGCTAGAGAGCGCAGTTCTGGTGTGGTGGTGTGCTGTGGCAAAGTTGTGTCGAGGTCGGGTGGAGAGTGCAGTTCTGGTGTGTTGGTGTGCTGTGGCAATCTGTCGGGGTCGGCTAGAGAGCGCAGTTCTGGTGTGGTGGTGTGCTGTGGCAACGTGTCGAGGTCGGCTAGAGAGTGCAGTTCTGGTGTGGTGTGCTGTGGCAATGTGTCGAGGTCGGCTAGAGAGCGTACTTCTGGTCGGATGGTGTGCTGTGGCAACGTATCGAAGTCGGCTAGAGAGCGTAGTTCTGGTGTGGTGGTGTGCTGACCAATATGCACAGGGCCAAATGCTGCTGCTTACCCTTGATAATACAAAGCATCACCACACCAAATTATCACAACTGCCATCCCCGTCTCTTTGGTTGTAAATCATTATATCCACACTAGCTTGTCCAGCTTGCCGTGGACCTCTCTTCTATCACCAGTGTGCACAAGCAAACATGTGCCTTTGTACTGAAGTATATCAGCCATAGCCAGCATATGCTACACTGTGTATGTCTCATCGACACCAATTTCTTCACGGAATTTTCTCCTCTGGGATGTGTGGCAACTAATACCTACGTCCTTCTCCCTTTCATTTTCCTCCTTCTCCTCCTGGTTCTTTCTGATTTATATATTTGAAATCCTCCGTCCCGGAAGGGAGCAGTCAGCCATACTTCAACCAGTATGACAGTACTCTAGTTGTGAGCATGTCTTCTCCAAAATATCTGTTTTCTCACCCGGTCGGTCCCATCCCATCAGAGGAGAATTGAATGAAATCTGGAATGATACTGAATAAACTGATTGTGTTTTGTTGTATTCCCTGCTTGAATTCTCTTGCAGGACTCTGGCGATATTCAAGCCGGACATAATGGAAAAAATGCGTAAGCAACGTGTTGTCTAACCTACCCGAACACCCACTCAGTTACCACCATCACCTCCCATAATGGTTGTATTCTGTAGGTGGGATGGTTGAGTGAGTTCGGTCCGTCGGTCAAACAGCACATGCACCGTTCAAACAGTGCACCGGGGTTTCCCCAGGGACCGTACAACCAGTGCATGGGGGTTTCCCCAGCTACCATACAAACAGTGCACGGGGTATCCCCAGGGAAAGAGCATGTGTGCTCACCACTTCCCTTTGAGTTCTGAAGCTGTAGGGTGCTTCACCCCTACAGTACTTTCGGCCACTGAAGAATGGAGCGCTGAAAATGGAGCGCCGAAGAATGGAACGCTGAAGAATGGAGCGCCGAAGAACGAAGCACCGAAGAATGGAGCACTGAAGAATTGAACGCTGAAGAATGGAGCGCTGAAGAATGGAGCGCCGAAGAACGGACCGCGGAAGAACGACCAGACTAGATATAATTTTACGGAGCACAGCATGCCAGTGTATAACTGTGATTCAACTGAACATGAAATTATAAAACGGTCTAGACTAGGAGACTACCCTAGGCGTCAGGCAAAATAGCACGTCATAGTACATTTGAGATCAGCGGGAAGAAGATGACGACGTCCACTTATTTAGTATCTGTGCACACGAATCTGCTGTGTGTGTGACTCTGTGTGTCAGCTATGATATCATCTTCTGTGGTTCCATGCCTAGCAGGTACGTCTGAACCATCCTATAAAGTTTGAATGATGTAGGTTTAGCGATCTCTCCGCGAAACATACTATTTGAAATTCTCTTCATAGTATATCTTGAATTATCTTCCACCATTGAAATTTCGAATTTCTTCAAAAAAAGTGCTGAGAGGGGTGGCTTGCAACCTCGATATGGCTTGTTCCAGGCATGCTTTGGAGCCATCTTCTGTTGAAGTAGTGGCGGGGATCTGCCCTGCAACTGCTACAACAAAAAATGATTCGATCTGAGAAAGGGTCGGTTGAATATTGAGTATTTCAAGCCTTTTCACGACGAAGATGGAGTTCTTTTTTAGATGGACGTCGCGGCAAAGGACATGGTGTCCGACTTCTGGCGTCTGGTGAAGCCAGGGATCATTTGTCCAGTCAGGTCGGCAGCCTAACCGTCGGTAAGCTTGTGTTTGGATCCCGTTCTGCTCGATGTGGTAGATCACAAACAATTTGATATCGCACAAATTGATCTCAGCATCGTGCGTACGGTATTTTATGTTCAGAAAATCCCAACGTGTCTCTGTGTGGCCGTCCTATGCCACGAGAAACCCCAATCAGGCTCCTATGTCCTCTGCCTTCATGATTGAATGTCCACTTCGTTTGAACAACGAACACAACAATCGAGGACGGCGTTGCAATGAAAAATACAGCTATTGTGGAGCTGGAAAAAAAGAAAGAAAAAACGTGCCCAGGATGAGACTCGAGTACACGCATACTCTCCCAGCAAGTGAAACGCAAATTTTTGTGAAAAATGCGTGTCGCCGACTGACCAGTAATTTCGCCTGACGAGGCTACTCCCCCCCCCCCTCCCCCCCCCCCCTCCTCCCAATATTCAAATGTTTCTAGCTGCATTCGAATACTATTCCCGGTCTCGGTATTCTAGAATGTTGGAATACTACAAGTATTCCTTGCGTCACTAGACTCCAAAGATTGCGTCATAGAGTTATACACGAGGTCGTTGCTGAGATTGACTGTAATTGTGTGTGTGTAATGTGGTGTATAGTTATTAACAAGTAATCTCACCGCTGTAGGAGCTGCATATGAGCCTTGATCCTTGAAGGGTGGTGGCATTCCTGCGGATGCAGAAAACTCGGCCTCTAGCTGAGTCTCACGCGAACCGTGAATTTCCGTTGTCATTTTTTTTAATGTGGGGATCATCCTGATCCGACCGCTCGCTCGCAGCTTTCTGAGTGACGTTAGTGATGTGTGTGTGTGGAGGGGGGGGGGGGGGAGTGCGTGTGTGTGTGTGTGTGTGTGTGTGTGTGTGTGACCTGTGTTGTACAAGCTTTCTCCGTGTGGCCTTTCTGAACGTGAGATATACATGTAAGGTGTACAAGCTTTCTGGGTGGCAGCAGCCTGTGTGGCAGCCTGTGTGGCAGCCTGTGTGGCAGCCTGTGTGGCAGCCTGTGTGGCAGCCTGTATGGCAGCCTGTGTGGCAGCCTGTGTGGCAGCCTGTGTGGCAGCCTGTGTGGCAGCCTGTGTGGCAGCCTGTGTGATGTTTGACCTGAACGCTCTATGATCTAAGCCATCCAAGCTTTCTGACCGGTCTAAGCTTTCTCAGAGGCGTGTTCACTGTGTGATTGAAGTGATTCAAGTGATCTGAGCCAACCGAGGCTTCCAGTTGACCCCATCTTGTTCCGTTGAGACTTGTGTAGAAATGATTTCATGGGCAAAGTGCTGACTTTTTTTAATGTTTTAATTTCTATCTCAGCAGAGCGAATCTGTGCAGGAAAATTGATCTAAATATTTCCAGAAAAAAGCCTTCCTTGTCTTCGAGTTTCCTACGTAATTGTTTTCAGCTGAAAACATGCTGCCCTAGTGCTCCTTGTCTTCGAGTTTCCTACGGAATTGTTTTCAGCTGAAAACATGCTGCCCTAGTGCTCCTTGTCTTCGAGTTTCCTACGTAATTGTTTTCAGCTGAAAACATGCTGCCCTAGTGCTAACAAGTGTTAACCTCTACAACTGGATTCTGGACTTAGTTTTGTGCGATTTGATCCTTGCAGGGCGGTGGTGTTTCTACGCATGCGGAAAATCAGTCTCACTTGTTCTCATGTGAAATGTGAATTTCTGTGGTGTGTTTCTGCCTGCAGCTCTCCTGCTTGAGATTCTCTGCACTGAAGGATTTCAGATCTGTGATATGAAGACAGTGGTGTTGAGCAAGTAAGTACAGAACCTTCCCAGTGCATAGCACACTCAGCAGAGGACTTCCATGTTGTTACCCGTTTTCTGATGATTGCCTAGCGGCGGCATGAAACTCAGAGTTACAACCAACCTGAACGTCCTCTGCTGAGTCTGCTAGGTACTAAGCTCTGTCTCAGACATTGGAGAGGTTAAGGTGAGCGTTATTTCTGATGTGACGCGAAAGTTCAGCCCGCGTTATTTGGCTCGCGCGTCGAAAAACAACGTGACCGGCACCTCACGTCGAAATTTGGAGTGTTACCCGCAATTTGACGTGAAATTGCGCTTCAGGTCAGAAATAGCGTGAATCTTAACCTCTCTATTGAGCACTCTCTGCAGGTCGGAGATGAACGTATTTGGACATTGCCAGTCTCTAGGTTATTGTACATAGTAACTGGAATTGAGTATCAGGAGAAAAGGCAAAACCCAACCTTTCCAATAAAATTACTGTGTGCACCAGTGAGTCATAGCAGCGGTGTGGGGGGGGGGGGGGTCACACATAATAGAACCCGAAAAATCGGCATAAACCATGGTCTATGCCACTTTTTATATCACTCCCGGCCTTGACCTGCTGCCCCCTAAGGTGATTCAGTCCGGCGATGCAACATGCCAGAGTTTATCAATCTGTCCTAGCTCAACAGCAGCTGTAAAGGGCAGCCGGCGGTGGATAGCAACATGCGTTTAGCTTTGCAGTCACCAATGTTTTCTCCTACTGTAGCGGACATGGAAATGCAGTCGATTGACTGGGGCCGGCGCCCTCAGCGCGTACAGAACGCTGCGTGCATGCAGTGCACATTTTGATCCGATGCGAACACCGCGCTGCAGCGCAGAAATGTATGTGTGTACCGCTTATCCACGGCTGCATGGCCATCGCCCTGGGGCCACTAGATGTTAGACCGGATTTCCACGTTGGTTGTGGGATGACCGTGAATTCGGGACTATCATTGGTTTTCTAGCTCTGTCGTATGCCCGGAACATTTATGGGCACCCTACTATTCCTGGTCCCCCCCCCCCCCATCCCAACTCTCTTTCTCCCCCCCCCCCCCCTATCCATCTAATGTGTATGTGCAATCCAACTCTCTTTCTCCCCCCCCCCCCTCCCTATCCATCTAATGTGTATGTGCAATCCAACTCTCTTTCTCCCCCCCCCCCCTCCCTATCCATCTAATGTGTATGTGCAATCCAACTCTCTTTCTCCCCCCCCCCCCCTCCCTATCCATCTAATGTGTATGTGCAATCCAACTCTCTCCCCCCCCCTCCCTATCCATCTAATGTGTATCTGCAATCCATGTTGAAGTTACAGAAGGGTGTAGGTGTACACAGGTGTTGTGGGATTAATCAATTATTGCATGTACTAAAAAACACAGTGTGTATGGTTTATGTGTGTGTGTGTGTGTGTGTGTGTGTTTGTGTGTGTGTGTTTGTATGCGAATGTCGGTGTCCATGAATGATTTTTTTGTTTTTCGTTGTTGTGTCCAGGTCTGCGGCTGAAGAGTTTTATCGCGAGCATAGTGCTAAACCATTTTTCAGGTTAGTACTCCCCTGGTAGCGTCCATTCAGATGGTCATTGTAGACCAGCAAGGGACGTGGCTTTTGTACAAACACTTGGGGTGGGGGGGGGGGGCATACAGTGGCGGATTTAGAGGGGGCGAAGGGGGCACGTGCCCCCCCCCCCTTCAGAAGCGCCGACCGACTTTCCCCCCCCCCCCCCCCTTCAGAAGCGCCGACCGACTTTTTTTTTTACTGATCTCGATCGAAACCGAGCTCGCGCGCACTTCCTGTGTAGATGACAAGGCCCAGTCGCTGTACTGCATGCACTGTACACATTCATGCACTGGTTCACCGGGTCCGTAGATCGATACGCGGTACGCGTGTACTGAACATGTGAACTGTCAACTCTCGTCGCGTCGATCTGTATTCCGCGAACCGCGATCCGTGCGCACCAGAACTACGGTTTTGGTCTAGTACTGCACTGTACTCGTAGTACGAAAACAAAGACGGTACAAGTGCAAGTACACAGTCCAAAACTTCGCATGGCAATGCGTAGATTTTCCTGCCCTTGCCTTGCAAACTTCACTTGCCTTGGCGTTCCAGAACCTCGTTGTTGTTTTACAGCAGTTCGAAAATGAAGAGAAGGAAGCAACTTACCTTGTTTGATTCGCTGCCACCTGCGAAGGAAGCTAGGACAGCTGCTAATGGATGTGCCGCTCGTGAGGATGTTGTAAATGTCGTAGAGTCCAGTCCCCCCACGGAGCGGATCGCAACATCATAAAACAGGTCTTTTCCGTTTGGTTGGTACAATTGCTGATTGTTATATTATACCAATAGTGCCCATACATTTACATGTTCGAGTATCACAAAAGTCATTGTAAAAGTAAACTTGTCCCATTGAGCCTGTAGTGTGCCCCCCTTGTTTCGGATCCTGGATCCGCCACTGGCATTGGCAGGTGTTGGTGTTATGATGATACTGGGAAGAATGTGATCAGGGAAATCCTGTGTTCTAGGTTATCAGTGAAACGCCCATGTGTTGCTTATTGCTGAACAACCTTCAGCGTGTGATGATCTTATCGACACTAGGTGTCTCAGTGCCTACTCTAGGATTTCAAACCACTTGGGTGCACGTGGACCTGCCACAACTTGTCCAACCGGGTCAGAGCTGGGTACGTTCAAGTGCGGTAAGCTTACTGCATGTGCATCAGGGAGCAGTAAATATTTTAGGACCTCCGATGTATACGTGTATGTAACATACCAGTATGTACATGTATACTATTTCCAGCTAGTGACCTGGTTAGTGCTCTTTTTTTAAACGGGTCCAAGTACCCCCAACCGGGTCCAAATACCACCAACCGGGTCCAACCGGGTCAAAGTACCCTCCAACCGGGTCAAAGTACCCCCAACCGGGTGCAAGTACCCCCAACCGGGCCGCTGACCAGGCTGACCCGGCTCTGTAGTCGACACTGTGTACTAGTATTGGTATGTAACAGTTTGTATGTGAATACAGGAAGGCATTACAAAGTCCAGAGTTCGTTTCTCACATGTCTTACTCATTCCTATTTGGACTATTTATACTAAGAGTTAGGATATTAAAGGGGTTAAGAGGGGTTCTCAAATCTTCGGCAATCCAGAAAAGGCTATGACAACCTCTTCCCTACTGCATTTTCAAAACTGCATAATTTGTGTTCTCAATTGGCTATATAGCCATATGAGTGTTTTTGCGACACTTGTCCAGGAAGAGAAGGAAGGAAATATATCACAAATCCCAATGCTGATGTGTGAATTTTTCGTGAAGTAGAATTGAAACTTTCTACTCTTCCTGTTCTTGCAATGTTCTGTTGTTGCCCTAGGCATTAAAATCCTGTTGTGGTTTTCCTGCCCTGCCGTTACTGCTGCTTCTGCTGCTGCTGTTGATGCTGCTGCTGTTGCTGCTGCTGCTGCTGCAGCCACTGCTGTTGCTGTTGCTGGTTCTTCTGCTGCTGCTGTTGCTGTTGATGGTTCTTCTGCTGTTGCTGTTGATGTTGCAGCTACTGCTGTTGCTGTTGCTGCAGCTACTGCTGTTGCTGTTGCTGCTGCTGCAGCTGCTGCAGCTGGTTCTTTTGCTGCTGGTTACGGTGTTTGTTGTAATGATGGTGTTACTGTTGTCACCCCGCATGCGCAGAACGCTGATATCGTTCATGACGGAAGGACCAATCTTGGCGCTCAGCTTACTAGCCGACAATGCCGTCAGCAGATGGAGAGCACTTATTGGTGAGGTCTACTATTAAAAAAAACAAAAAAACAGGGAAATTCATATCCAATCTTTGAGTATTGCCAGCAACATCGGTGGAGGTGCTTACTAAAGTCATACTCTGGGCATATCTTGCTTGATTTTCACCGTGCCCAGCTTTGTGTGTGTGTGTATGTGTGGTATGTTATTTATCTGTGGTTGGTGTTCATGACCAGGACCAACAAACTCGGCTGATGCCAGGTCTCAAGCTCCGGATAGTCTCAGAGCAAGGTTTGGCACAGGTAAGCTAGTTTTAAAGACTGTGATTAACCATTTTCTTTGACGGTTGGTTAACCTTTGCAAGTCATTGAAGTAGTAATTAATGAACTGAAGTCGATCACATAATACTATGCAGTGATCATAGCGAAGGGCAAGTGCCAACATTGGGAGTTGACTTTCAAATCAGTCGGCATACTGTATTCTATTGCAGTGAGTTGTTTTCAGTCACTACTCAATTTTCTCTTTGTTCCTATTTCTCTGCTTCTTTATTTCTATATGCCTGGCCGTGTCGTATTCTGTTCAACATTTTCTATCCATGCGTTTTGAAACAAAATAATTCTGCACTCATTATTCTGACAGAGAAAGCAAAGAAAGACTATAGGTTTCCAAGAACGTTTCTTGTTACGATTATCGGTTCCACACTTGGAACTGATGATCGTATCAGAAAAATAAACTACTTGTCGCCGAGTTTGTAATTTTCGCTTCGTAGAGAAGGAGAAGCCGTAGCTGATTTTGTCGCTTGGCCACTGGTTTGCCTGTACTGTCGGTCGGCTTGGAAACCAATATTATAACCACCTTGCCTTTTGTGTCGAGATAATGCAGATCATTTGTATCCATGTAATATTCTCAAGGTTTGTATTAATTTTTCCTGTTGTGAAGATCAAACACGCAATGCCTGTCATGGATCAGATTCAGTGGCATCGGCTGAAAGAGTAAGTTAATTAGTGTTCCCTTAGTGTTCCCCCACCACTCTTACTGAGATAGAGTGATGATGATTTCTGCACAGGACGTAGAAAACACGCCATTCAGTATGTGCACATCACTGTGATGCCTACACCAATGTACAGTGAAACCTTTCTAAGACGACCGCTCAAGGGACCTTGAAAACGTGGTCTCTGTAACCAGGTGGTCTCCTTATCCAGTTTCATTTGACTGGAAATAGCATCCCTGGGTCCTGGTTGTAATGTAATGGTCTTCTTGGACAGGTGGTCGCCTTGACAGGTTTTACTCTACGTGTTTGTACATGCGTGTCTTTACGGTACTGCTGTATGTACAACACTATGCATACATCATGTGTGTATGTACAACACTATGCATACATCATGTGTGTATGTACAACACTATGCATACATCATGTGTGTATGTACAACACTATGCATACATCATGTGTGTATGTACAACACTATTTTTTCTTTCTTTCTTTTTTTCGGGTGTAACGGCCTCTTTTATAGGCAAAATAAAGTCATGTAGACGTGAAAAAATTGAGATACCATGAAAGGTAAAATAGAATTTTATTCAAACGACTTAAGAGTAACTCTCCACCACTGTAACTAGATACTATAATACAGTCAGAAAGTGCAACAACTAGGCACAAAACTGACAGAGTACTGAGACATTCGACGTCCTGACACCTAGCTTCAACACATCTCCGTAGCGCTACGGAGATGTGTTGAAGCTAGGTGTCAGGACGTCGAATGTCTCAGTACTCTGTCAGTTTTGTGCCTAGTTGTTGCACTTTCTGACTGTATATAATATCTAGTTACAGTGGTGGAGAGTTACTCTTAACTAGTTTCCATATGTCCTTTTCCTTTCTACTTTTATTATTGGCTCAATACCTGAGTTTTAAATTTTATTCAAGTTCAATACATTGGGAAACTCCAAGAAATTCCACGTAAAACAAACGAAATTCAGTTTTCAATGGCCGATACCTACCCCAGCACCATCCTGCGTCGACAGGCCTGTCAGGCGCCTTCTAGACCCGCGTAGCCGGAGGTCGACTGCATGGATCACTGAAAATTGGCTGCGAACTCGCACCCAAGCCATGATGATTGAAAATGGCTTGTCCCACTTGAGGGCGAGGCGACCAGTAAGTCGCTTCTGATAGCTGGCGTATTCGCGATGTAGCACCCCATCCGTGGAACAAACCAGTGGTGTGAACGCCCCACGGAGGTCCTCGGAGGCCTGGCGGTACTTCGTACAACACTATGCATACATCATGTGTGTATGTACATGAGTGTGCATACATCAGGTGTGTATGTACATGAGTGTGCATACACAATAGCGAGAGTTCCCAGATTGCCTAGAGTGCTCAACACTACAAGGATGCAGCATTACCACAAACACAGTGCAGAACCTCTCTATTTACTGTGTACCTAGGAATGCTATCTGTTTTCACCTCGACTGCAGGAGACGGAGTTTTTCTTTGGAGCAGGCAGCAACAGCAGTCGTGGCCTTCAAGTCCCGGCTGAGCTTGACAACTGCACATTGTGTTTGGTCAAGCCATACACAATGACACAAGGTTAGAAAGACTGCAAATATCCAATTCTGCAGTACTTCAGGCAAACTAATACTTGTTTTATCTATCACCCTAGCACAGTGGAACTCACCTAGTACATACTCTACTACTACATACACTTGCCTAGTACATACCCTACTACTACATACACTTGCCTAGTACATACTCTACTACTACATACACTTGCCTAGTACATACTCTACTACTACATACACTTGCCTAGTACATACTCTACTACTACATACACTTGCCTAGTACATACTCTACCACTACATACACTTGCCTAGTACATACTCTACTAATACATACACTTGCCTAGTACATACTCTACTAATACATACACTTGCCTAGTACATACTCTACTACTACATACACTTGCCTAGTACATACTCTACTAATACATACACTTGCCTAGTACATACTCTACTACTACATACACTTGCCTAGTACATACCCTACTACTACAAACATTTGCGTAGTACGTACTCTTTCTTAGTTCATACTCTGCTAATACATACCCTTGCTTAGTACATACCCTTGCTTAGTACATACCCTTGCTTAGTACATACACCTGTTTGGTACATAGTCTGCTAGGACATACACTTGCTTAGTACAAACTCTGATAAGACAAACACATGGTTAGTACATACTCTGATAATGCATACCCTTGCTTAGTACAAACTCTGATAAGACAAACCCATGGTTAATACATACTCTGATAATACAAACACTTGCTTATAATGGTTTGGTTGTGGTCTGACATTATTGTTGAGTGCAGGTCTGCTTGGGAGAGTAGCTCGTGATATTGTGCAGGCTGGTTTTGACATCTCTGCCATGCAAATGGTAATCATCTGTAATTGTTTCTCCTATCCGGTTGTTTGTCTGGCTGACTTGTAGTCTCTGCCTCTCTTGGCCTCTTGGGCTTAGATATCTGTCCACCTCTCCCTCTCTCTTACACACACACACACACACACACACACACACACACACACACACACACACACACACACACACACACACACACACACACACACACAAACAAACACATACTCTCTCTCTCTCACTCTCTTTCTCTCTCACCATCTGTCCCTGCATGTTTCTCTTCGTCCTTTTCTGTTTCTGTATCTCTGTCTCTGTCTGTCCTGTCGTCTTGCTTACTAGGAATGCGGAGATGGTCTACTTTGTGTGTGCTTTGGGGCTTCTCATTCTTGTTATTGCTAGTTACGTGTATCTTACGCTATTCGTGTGTGTGTGTGTTTGTGTGTGTGTGTGTGTGTTTGTGTGTGTGTGTGTGTGTGTGTGTGTGTGTGTGTGTGTGTGTGTGTGTGTGTGTGTGTGCATGTGTGTGTGTGTGTGTGTGTGTGTGTGTGCATGTGTGTGTGTGTGTGCGTGCGTGTGTGTGCATGTGTGCGTTTGTGTGTTCATGTGTGTGTGTATGTAACTTTCTGTGTGTCTAGTACCATTTGGACAAGAGCACAGCAGAGGAGTTCTTGGAAGTCTACAGAGGTGTTGTTGCCGAATATCCGGTGAGTTAGAGCCTAGAGGGTAAAAGAAATGACAAAGACAATTGTTTACCAGCCTGAGTACTTCTCATGACGGGGTTGATTGTTGTTGCTTTGATGAGATTGTGACGCACCGTTCATCACCAAATCCCAATCCATTACATGTGGAATTTAGTTTTGATATTGGTCGAGGCAAAGGCAGCCTTTAGACGTTTTACCGATGATGTCATGCTGGTATGCCAGCAGAACAGCTTATGGGCTCTATGTATAGAGCATCAGTATGTAAGGAGACTACAGACCATTTCTTCCTGCAGTGACTCCTGCATAATGTTGACTGCTCAATGGGTCGTCGAAATTTAGGCCCTGTCTACACGTGGTCTCCTTATCCAGGGTGTTCCTTGATCATAGTTGCCATGGTCCCCTGTGACAGGTGGTCTCCTTATCAGGGTGTCCCTTGATCATAGTTGTGGTGGTCCTCTGTGACAGGTGGTCTCTTTATCCAGGGTATCCCTTGATCCTAGGTATGGTGGTCCTCTGTGACAGGTGGTCTCATTATCCAGGGTATCCCTTGATCCTAGGTATGGTGGTCCTCTGTGACAGGTGGTCTCATTATCCAGGGTATCCCTTGGTCGTAGGTATGGTGGTCCTCTGTGACAGGTGGTCTCCTTATCCAGGGTATCCCTTGGTCCTAGGTATGGTGGTCCTCTGTTACAGGTGGTCTCCTTATCCAGGGTGTCCCTTGATCCTAGTTTTAGTGGTCCCCTGTGACAGGTGGTCTCATTATCAGAGTGGCCGCCTGGACATGTCCTCCTCTACATATCGGGAGAGAAATGTTGATCTACATTATGTGTTTGTGTGTGTCTGCGCGCACGCGCACGCGTGTGTATGTATGTGTGTTTTGTGTGCGTGTCTGTGTGCGAGTGTATGCATGTGTGTTTTGTGTGTGTCTGTGCGTGTGTGTATGCATGTGTGTGTGTGTGTGTGTGTGTGTGTGTGTGTGCGTGTGTGTGTATGTCGGTGTGTGTTTGTCTGCTTTCCTATTGTGTCACTCGGCAGGAGATGGTATCTGAGTTGTGCTCAGGAGCATGCGTTGCCATGGCATTAACTCATCAACCTGGCGATGCTTGTGTAGAGCAGTTCAGACAGTTTGTTGGACCAGCAGATCCAGTAAGATCAACATTCGCCACTAACCATGTACTACTCCCTAGCTGGTGGTATGCTGTTGTTGTTTGGGCTAGGGTTCGACTCATCAATTTCCTATCATTTGCTCTACTACATCCAGGGGATCGTGCCATAGTTCAAATAGTCCTTGATCAGTCCAGCCATGCAGTAGCCTGTCATACTTTTGAGTTTGAAAGGCTATTTCTCCAACTCTACCAGCATCAGTGTTGCTGCTGTAGCTGCTATTACTCCCACTGCACATGCTTCAGTGCTGCTGCTGTAGCTGCTATGGCTTCTGCGACTGCACCATTGCGGTAACTGCTACTACTTTTTAGAAGTCTTACTGTACATATCCCAGAAACGGCGAAAGTTGCTTTCTCTTCTTATTCTTGATTGTGTGTTTGTGCTCACAATAATAATTATAAACATAACATATGTGTGTGTCTGTGTGGTTGTGTGTGTGTGTGTGTGTGTGTGCGTGCGTGCGTGCATGCGTACGTGTGGTATGTGATTGCACAATCGTGTACACGTGTGTACGTGTATGTGTATGTGTACGTTTATCATCTGTTCTGTTGTTCAACAGGAGATAGCTCGTCACTTGCGTCCCAGCACGTTGCGTGCAAAATATGGACACAACAAATTGAAGAATGCTGTTCACTGCACTGACCTAGCTGATGACGGTATGCAGGAGGTGAGTGGAGCTCTATCTCATGTTGGTATGGTGTCCTGCAGGTATGGTGTCATGCTGGTATGGTGTCATGCTGGTATGGTGTCATGCCGGTCTCGTGTCATGCTGGTATGGTCTGGTCAAGGCTTTCCCCAAATCGGCCGGCCGCAAAATTCTCCACAAACAAGACTTACCGAAAAATGTATAAGGTTTTAGCCGATTTTGGAGGGTTCCTTTGAGAATCGCCGAAAATCTTCCAAATGTTGTTGCAAAGTGAGTTTACGAACGAATGATATTGCTGCAAGCATGACCGCTCGAGCTCTCTATGGCAGTACTTGTAAACTAGTGCGTTGAGGTCGTGTGACTCGTGTCCTTTGAACTCCTCCCAAACAAACATTAGCCATTAGGAAGATCATTACTAGTAAAAAACTAGAATTTCTTTTCCCCAGTGTCTCACCACTCTTGTAGCCAGTATGCCCACAATTCTTCTGACCGATTTTCCAAAATATTCCAATTTTGTAGCCGATTTTCGAACAATCGGCTGATTTTCAGCCGAATCTGATGTGTTTTTGAACCGAGCGAACAGACAAATAGGCGAACAATAACCGGGCCGATTTGGGGAAAGCCTAGTCTGGCCTTATGCTGGTCTGATCTCATTCCGGTCTGGTCTCATTCCGGTCTGGTCTCATTCCGGTCTGGTCTCATTCCGGTCTGGTCTCATTCCGGTCTGGTCTCATTCCGGTCTGGTCTTATTCTGGTCTGATCTCATTCCGGTCTGGTCTCATTCCGGTCTGGTCTTATTCTGGTCTGATCTCATTCCGGTCTGGTCTTATTCTGGTCTGGTCTTATTCCGGTCTGGTCTCATTCCGGTCTGATCTCATTCTGGTCTGGTCTCATTCCGGTCTGATCTTATTCTGGTCTGGTCTCATTCCGGTCTGGTCTCATTCCGGTCTGGTCTCATTCCGGTCTGGTCTTATTCCGGCCTGATCTCATTCCGGTCTGGTCTCATTCCGGTATGGTCTCATTCTGGTCTGATCTCATTCCGGTCTGGTCTTATTCTGGTCTGGTCTTATTCCGGTCTGGTCTCATTCCGGTCTGGTCTCATTCCGGTCTGGTCACATTCCTGTCTGGTCTCATTCCTGTCTGGTCTCATTCCGGTCCGGTCTCATTCCGGTGTGGTCTTATTCTGGTCTGTTCTCATTCCGGTCTGGTCTTATTGGGGTCTGGTCTTATTCCGGGCCGGTCTCATTCCGGTCTGGTCTCATTCCGGTCTGGTCTCATTCCGGTCTGGTCTTATTCTGGTCTGGTCTTATTCCGGTCTGGTCTCATTCCGGTCTGGTCTTATTCTGGTCTGGTCTTATTCCGGTCTGGTCTCAATCTGGTCTGGTCTCATCCCGGTCTGGCCTCATTCCGGTCTGGTCTCAATCCGGTCTGGTCTCATCCCGGTCTGGTCTCATTCCGGTTTGGTCTCATTCCGGTCTGGTCTTATTCCGGTCTAGTCTCATTCTGGTCTGGTCTTATTCTGGTCTGGTCGTATTCCGGTCTGGTCTTATTCTGGTCTGGTCTTATTCTGGTCTGGTCTTATTCCGGTCTGGTCTTAACCCTTTAAGAGCCACAAGAAAATTTCAAAATTCTGCATTTTTTCATGTTCCTTGGATCATAGCTTCAGTTCTACTCACTCAATCCTCACAATCTAGGGCTTCCTGGAAAGGTCTCCGCGAGAGGAAGACAAGGAGGTCGATCATGATAGCCAGCACACTGTTTATCCAGCGCTAGATCGCAGAGACAGTACGAAAAATGCACCAAATGCGTCCAATTGCGTCCCGCTCCAGATATTTCAGTTTACTCGATCGTGGAGTTCCAATTTTTTCGCTGTGTACTCTTGACAATGTCAACAGTGAAACCCGTGCAAATTCGAGTAAACCAGCATGACGAAAAGTCTCAAAATTCTCAATACTAAAGTCGCACTGCGCGCTTTTGAAATTGCCGCAATCGCGGCTCAATTGACGAGTGATTTATCTCAGGAACTGTTGCTCGCAGCGCTTCGCGGATATTTTTTCCTGACAGGTGAGAGTTTTCTCTTCTCCCTAGATATTTCGATCACTGGATTTGAGCGAGATTGGACTGAGTTACGATCTTTTGAAGTTTTCCATTTGAATGCGTCGTTTACGACGCATTCAAGTATGAGGCGGCTCTTAAAGGGTTAATCCGGTCTGGTCTCATCCCGGTCTGGTCTCATTCTAGTCTGGTCTCAATCCGGTCTGGTCTCATCCCGGTCTGGTCTCATTCCGGTCTGGTCTCATTCCGGTCTGGTCTCATTCCGGTCTGGTCTTATTCCGGTCTAGTCTCATTCTGGTCTGGTTTTATTCTGGTCTGGTCTTATTCTGGTCTGGTCGTATTCCGGTCTGGTCTTATTCTGGTCTGGTCTTATTCTGGTCTGGTCTTATTCTGGTCTGGTCTTATTCTGGTCTGGTCTAATTCCGGTCTGGTCTCATTCCGGTCTGGTCTCATTCTGGTCTGATCTAATTCCGGTCTGGTCTCATTCTGGTCTGGTCTTATTCCGGTCTGGTCTTATTCTGGTCTGGTCTAATTCCGGTCTGTTCTTATTCTGGTCTGGTCTTAGGTTGCGTTTGTTTGGTGTCATTCCGACACCATTCCAAAGTCATTCCGCTGTGCTTTGGTTGCGGTGCGTTTGTTTGATGCACCGGACAGCGTTTGTTCCGTGCAATTCCGATTCCGGTCGCGGAATGAAGGGGGCAGAATCGATTCTGGCGATTCCAAAGAAAAAAGTGGAATGAGTGCTCATTCGGAGCGGATTGAAAATATGTGGCGGCCACTGGGGGCTGTCACTATTGTATATCTCCGCCAACAAAACCTCAAACGCGATTGTCGACATACGGAATGTTGCCGAAAATCGTCCAGGGTGTAGGCTGGTACTGTAACCTCGGGATAGTTACCGCTACTGGTTTGTGGCATTTTTTACCCTTCGCTGCCTGAGAAAGCGTTTGCCCAGGACACGAACTGGATTGATGCCCTCGCACCTCTTCTCCTCATCGTCGAGCAGGGCCTCCAGAATCACTCGGTTAGGGAGGCAGTCCCACCAATGCATATCACATAATCACCCACACAGGCACTGAACCTGCCACTCGACTTCTTCTTACAACCGCACCTTCGTCAAACAAGCGCTTCCAATCCGTGAAGAGCTAGAGCCGTTTTGACTGATACGAGGTCGAATACGGAATAGTCATGATGAAGTAGCGGCCAAACGTCGCGTACAGGCGTGTACCCTAGTGGAGCACGTAGGCCTATGCCGAGTTTGGCCGCTCCTTCACCATGATCGTCGTAGGGGCATGCAGAACTAGAAACGTACGGAAGCAAGATAGCAACCACAACATTCTTAGGCTACCAGCTTATCTTTGAAAAGCTGCAAAAAACAACTCGTAGATCTCAAAAACAAAACATTCGACCGCCGTTTGCGGAGTCTCGCAAAACGTTTGCCAGATTCCCGAGTGCATGCACGCACAATTGTTTGCTACTCTCATTCCATGCTCATTCCGGAATGACCGAACAAATACAACCTTATTCTGGTCTGGTCTCATTCTGGTTTTGGTCTTATTCCGGTTTTGGTCTCACTCCGGCTTTGGTCCTATTCTGGTCTGGTCTCATTCTCACGCTAATCTTGGAGTTCATAGGGAATGTCAGTGAGGAACGTTTAGGAACAGAACATATGTCCTATTCCCATAACTCCTTTCGATATTTTGTCTGCCTATCTAAAGAAACCCTTTGTCTGCGGTGTGGGTCTACCCCTGAGAATGCTGCAATGTTCAGATGTGCCTGTATATGCGGAAGTCGCATCTGCATTTCTCACACAATCTCTCTTAGGGCCCGGTCCCACATGCACTTGAGAGTTGCGGATCCGCTGCAGCGGTGTCGCAACAGCGTGTATCACCATGGAAACTGCGAGTAGCGGAACTTCCGCCATGGCGGAAAGTTTAAATCCGCTACTCCAAAAATTTTGGAGCATATACTCTCCTGCGGAAGTTCCGCTCCTGCGACACTCGGCCATAGTGAGCGATTTGTGTTGTTCGATTTAATTTTTCGGTCATGAAGTGGACATTTGGACTTGAGTCAGAGCAGCTACGGCTGCAGTTGTACACGTCATGTATGTTGAGGTCGAGACTCGTTTGACCAAGGGATGAAGAGAGATACGGAGCGGTATAGGTGGATAGCCGAGAAGCTGATGCTGAAACCGACGGCTGCGACGTCGGCCAAAGACCAAATCGCGGACCCGTGAGCAGCCAAGCATGGCCATCATGTAAAACCACGCAGGGGGACCACTGTGATGTAGGTCTGGCAAGAGCAATTCTAGTATCTATAGCAGGTATCGTCGATGTGCTGCTCAACAAGTTCGTACTAGTATTCAGCAACGACAATGTCGCTGCGTTCTCCATAGCCTTGTGACAACGTCTCGCCAATCGACCTCTACCCAACGGAAAATCCATTCTTTCAGATTATACAGAACAAAGACTCAAAGTCAACAATACCGAACCCACGACATGTAGCTAATGGTAATGCTTGATACTCAACTGAACAAAAACAACGATCTGTCCAACACCTAGCATCTACATCATCAGTACATCAGTGCTGCGTTGATGTGTCCACAAAGGACGAAACAGTTCTGTCCACAGACACAGTACTGTACTGACTGTACAGACTCAGTATCAGTATACAGTACGTGCACGCGTACTTCCAAGTGAAAGCATGCTTGAGTTGCAGGAGAGCTGCACTGAATTTTTTGGAAGTCAGAGAGGCGCGCTCGCTTCGTTTGCCGTGCACGCGTGATCATGGGAGACCACGCGAGCATTTTGTCGCAGGAGAGGTGCGACACCACTCCCGCAAAACCTTGTCGCACCAGCGGATCCGCCACTACATGTGGGACCGGGCCCTTATGGTATTCTGTCTTAACTCTCCTTCCCGTCGAGAATGGAATTGTTCCTGTTGCACACTCGGTAGAGCATGCTTGTCTTAATCTCATGGTCGTGGATCTGAGGACCATGTTGCCGTTGCTCTTGTACAACTGCTTCTTTCGCTGCTCTCCGACTCACACTCCAAGCAGCAGTTGTGACTGTTAGAATACTTCAGAAAGAGAGCTAAGATGACGAAGGAATGAAATGTACAAAGTGCCCTGGGGTGCATTGCTAGACATTGTGTGTGCTCTTGCGTGTGTGTGTGTGTGTGTGTGTGTGTGTGCGTGTGTGTGTGTGTGTGTGTGTGTGTGTGTGCTCGCACGCACGCGCGTATGTGTGTGCGTGTGTATGTGTGTGTGTATGGGTGTGTTCGTGCATGTGTGTATGTGTGTGCGTCCTGTGATCGCGGGTTCCATATTTTCCTCTACTAAATTCATTCCTCTAGGTTGAGTACTTCTTCAAGATTCTCCAGTAACTACGGAAACAGACAAGACTTCAGTGAAGGTTACAGTGCATCCTGAGTAATCGGCGTCACAATGCATTTTCGTTGATGTGTCTTCTGTAACCGCTGGAATGAACATTCAGCCACCGTTGCAGCAATGTGTTGAGAGATGCAAAGGCGAGGTTTGATGAGCTGATTTCGATGTGATATTAATCCTGAAACATAATGCTCTTGTAGCAGTTCAGCACTCTCGTGTGGGGTAGTGCATTTTCTGTTTGCGTTATCCAGAGCTCACTGACTTGTCAGTTTGAGCACTCTCATGTGGGGTAGTGCATTTTCTGTTTGCTTGTTCAGAGCTCACTGACTTGTCAGTTTGAGCACTCTCATGTGGGGTAGTGCATTTTCTGTTTGCGTTGTTCAGAGCTCACTGACTTGTCAGTTTGAGCACTCTCATGTGGGGTAGTGCATTTTCTGTTTGCGTTATCCAGAGTTCACTGACTTGTCAGTTTGAGCACTCTCATGTGGGGTAGTGCATTTTCTGTTTGCGTTATCCAGAGCTCACTGACTTGTCAGTTTGGGCACTCTCATGTGGGGTAATGCATTTTCTGTTTGCGTTATCCAGAGCTCACTGACTTGTCAGTTTGAGCACTCTCATGTGGGGTAGTGCATTTTCTGTTTGCGTTATCCAGAGCTCACTGACTTGTCAGTTTGAGCACTCTCATGTGGGGTAGTGCATTTTCTGTTTGCGTTATCCAGAGCTCACTGACTTGTAAGTTTGAGCACTCTCATGTGGGGTAGTGCATTTTCTGTTTGCGTTGTTCACAGCTCACTGAGCACTCTGGCAAGGTACGCTCGGGCCTCTGGCTTTGGAGAAAAAATTTCATTGCTATCAGGATAAACGCAGAAAAGACTCCTATTGTGTACGTAGCTACCCAGATTTCACTTGTGTCCAGTGAAGCTTACTCTTAGCCAGTATTGGTACATAGCTATGATGGTCACGGGTTGACTGGTTATTTCTTACATGCAGATGTACATGTATATAAAAAAACTTACCATCTCCAAAGCAGCAGCAGGGATCTGGAGTGGGAAATAATACCAAGCTACAAAGGAGAGAGTGACAGCAACCATGCCAGGGACAAAGAATTGGGCGTCATGAATATTTGCGCCAGGCCTCGTTACATGGCCCCTGCACCTCATACACACACATACACACGCGCGCACACAAACACACGCACGCGCGCACACACACACACCCTGTTCATTGCGCTCGAACGGTGGCGCTACTTCATTCATGAGGTCGATCTGATGCCCCTACCGCCGTACCGCGTACCGGGCCCTGAGCTAGCCCTGTCAGAACTGTACGTGCGCGTGCGTTACTTGTCAGTCAGGGCGGGATACGTGTAGTGCAGGGGATTCAAGGGATTTCCCCTTGTCCGCACCCGCAAGGACCAGTATGCAGTACTACATTTACCTGCTACTGTGCTAGTGCTACATGTAGTAGTAGACTAGTAGGGTCCGTGATACATACCGGTAATCGTATTGTACATAATACCGGTAATCGTATTGTATGTCTGCGCTAGAATCGAAATACGAGAGTCGATAGAAACTTGCCGAGACTACAAGTTTCGATTCCTTACAGAGCATTTTCGATACAATAGACCAATCCCGAAAAGATTGTCTGGGTTCGTGAAAGGGGGCACGCGTGCAAGCCAGCACGTGTGAAGTACATCGTTTTGTATTCAGTTTGTGTGTGTCAGCTCATGGCGGAGGAGAGAGAGACTTTTGCTCGCCGAGCTGAAGCTTAGGGATCTGATGGAGTCCTGCCAGCAGCTAGTCAAAGGACCTTCGGTACCTTAGGCAGACCCTGACGGAGTTTGGAGGCCAGCTAGCTCTCGGTGAGGAGAGAAACATTCGCGTGGCGATCAACTCTCCGTAAAAAATGCAAGCTACATAGCGCCGGCATACTGCGACAGCTACGATTTCAGCTAACTAACTTACTTCTCGATCTGCTGCTTCACAAAGTTCAACTATTTACAAGTCCTGAATGTTGTAGTCTGAAGCTGGAGTCTGATCGCCCACCTACAGGTAGCTTTTGGAGCTGATGGATTTCCCGACTTGGGCTCCTTCCGCAAACTCTCGCAACATTACTACAGTGTATGCTGTGTTTCCGCACGCTCGTGTCAACATGTCACCTATACTGTACATGTACCGGGTCGCGGAGGAGCTTGACGACCTCCGCTGACTCCAGGTTTCCGAAATACTGCCGTCGTCTTCGTTGATGTCGCTGGTGATATTCTCCCCTTGCAGGACGTGCGCATAGTTGTCGTCCCGCGGGTAAAGACTATGTTGTCTTTCGAAATAGTTCTTCATCACGCTCGCGCGAATGATGTTTCTCATCATGAACTCGTTCCGACGGTGTGACACGGCGATGGTCTTTGGCGGGGCACTGGCTTGGCGAAAACGATATCTTCTTGTGCAATATAACATTGATCGGCTGCAGATGAGTACAGTCACTTCGTGGTTGGTCCTATAGGAGGGCAGCTGCCAGGAAAGAGGCAGGACTCATCGAAGACGAAGCGCTCGCAACAAACAATAGCACTCGAAATATCTCGTAAGATTTAGGGCCTATAGCTTTGAGCCACAGCGCTCACAGCCTTGCCTACTTCATCAAAGTGAGCTCTACATGTTCGTTGACCCCTTCACACTACACAGAAGAGCGAAACAAGGATTATGTCTTAGCATTTCAACTCCAACAGCAGACCATTACCAGTGCGAGAGAGAAAACTACAAAGGGCTTTGCTTTCTGCCGCATCGTCTCTCTTGCATTCAACTAACGAGAAAACCGTGTACTTACCCTCGCATTCACACGCGAACTATCAAACACGTCCTGTGCCGCATGCTGATCAGGTAGTGCCATGTATGTGTTATACAGTGTACTCTCAGTTGACATGCCCCCTTTCGAACCCAGACAATCTTTTCGGGATTGGTCTATTGTGTCCGTATCAGTGAAAGTCGATGCGTTCCTGGAAATGCGAACGGATTGAGTTTCATGTTCTCTTTTCTGCAGCAGAATATTTCAGTGGCTTTTCAGAACTTCATTCTAGTGGCGACAGTTTGCCTTTGCTGTAGTGTATGGCAAGAAACCAGAACACATGTTTATTGCAGATCTACTGCAGGGCTTGTTCCTCGGGTTTATTGCAGATCTACTGCAGGGTTTGTTCCGCTGCCACTGGCGCTGCTGCTGCTGCTGCTGTCAGTGGATGTACAGTCAGTTATGTAACTGTTGGAGAGCCAGAGAGACTAAGCTTCAAGAGAGGACATGCGATGATGGTACAGAGAACACGGATTTTCAAATGCACCATGCAGTGAAGTGACTGCACAACACGGTAAGAAACGAAGGGTGTATGTACGTGACGCTGACAGTCACAGGCACACGTAGACTGCTCAATAATCTGGTAATGCTAGAACGAGGGAACGTTCAAAGAAAATGCTGCGTGTTTGGAGATAGCGGTTGGACTATGTACAAGATTAGTACAACTGGACAGATAATTCGCCCAGGTAGACCTACCCAGGTACCCAGGTACCCAGGAACTGCGTACCAGTCAAACTTCGTATCTGAACACGTTTTACAAGGAAACGTGAATGTTACACTGTAATCACATAACTGCATGACTTGAGTGCCCCTCGAACAAACATAGAGAGGGTGGGGGGGGGGGGGGGGAGGAGAGCTGGTCTTCGCAAACCGGAGCACTGAAATCAGTTTTGAAATAAAGTAATGAAAAAAACGGAAATGAATTGAAACAGAACATGCACTGCATCATACAAAACCTACTAGTATGCTACAGTTGCTGTGCTCACTGAAATCCGACCCAAAGTACAAAGCTGGCGGCCTGGAGCAGTTCCTATCACAGTTTACATCATTGCATCTGCACATGTACTGTATCTTTACATGTGTACGTCCAGCCACATTCCTGCCACTTCCAGGCAACCAAGGCCGGTGCAGGTGTACGTCCAGCCACATTCGTGCCACTTCCAGGCAACCAAGGCTGGTGCAGGTGTACGTCCAGCCACATTCGTGCCACTTCCAGGCAACCAAGGCTGGTGCAGGTGTACGTCCAGCCACATTCCTGCCACTTCCAGGCAACCAAGGCCGGTACAGGTGTACGTCCAGCCACATTCCTGCCAGTTCCAGGCAACCAAGGCCGGTGCAGGTGTACGTCCAGCCACATTCGTGCCACTTCCAGGCAACCAAGGCCGGTGCAGGTGTACGTCCAGCCACATTCTTGCCACTTCCAGGCAACCAAGGCTGGTGCAGGTGTACGTCCAGCCACATTCGTGCCACTTCCAGGCAACCAAGGCCGGGGCAGGTGTACGTCCAGCCACATTCATGCCACTTCCAGGCAACCAAGGCCGGTGCAGGTGTACGTCCAGCCGCATTCGTGCCATTTCCATTCAACCAAGGCCGGTGCAGGTGTACGTCCAGCCGCATTCTTGCCACTTCCAGGCAAACAAGTGCGGTGCAGGTTGAGGGTGCCAGCTTAGCACTTTGGGTCAGATTTCAGTTTAGCGCAACTGCACATGTATGTAGCATACGAGTACACCCGAGGTCGTGGCTTAATAATAATAAAGGGAGACGACACTGGACACTAAAACGCTAAATCACGTACGTATCGACCACCGGGCTGCATGCCCGCTACTAATACATGCTCGCACATGACATTGCTTGTCTGGCCCCGCTCTCTCATGTAGGCAGGCCGTCGTAATGATGGGTTGGATTTAGTACACCGCACAATACACAACAAGTAAAATACGGTACCAATTTGTCAAGGCTATCGGCGTAAATGGAGGGGGGAGGGGAGGGATTCGGCCACCTGTTGGAAAAACCGAGTTTAGCAAACATTCGTGCTTCACCAAAAACAAATTGTTATGGCGATTACTACAAGAACAAGCTGAATACCAATAAACTGTCAACGATGGTTAAGGCGTGCGGTAGGTTGCGTAGATGGAAACACTGCAAAAACAAACTCGAGCTGCAAAAGCAAACTCTCACTGCAAAAGCAAACTCTCACTGCAAAAGCAAACTCTCACTGCAAAAGCAAACTCTCCTCTGCAAAAGCAAACTCTCCTCTGCAAAAGTAAACTCTCCTCTGCAAAAGCAAACTCTCCTCTGCAAAAGCAAACTCTCCTCTGCAAAAGCAAACTCTCCTCTGCAAAAGCAAACTCTCCTCTGCAAAAGCAAACTCTCCTCTGCAAAAGCAAACTCTCCTCTGCAAAAGCAAACTCTCCTCCGCAAAAGCAAACTCTCCTCTGCAAAAGCAAACTCTCCTCTGCAAAAGCAAACTCTCCTCTGCAAAAGCAAACTCTCCTCTGCAAAAGCAAACTCTCCTCTGCAAAAGCAAACTCTCCTCTGCAAAAGCAAACTCTCCTCTGCAAAAGCAAACTCTCCTCTGCAAAAGCAAACTCTCCTCTGCAAAAGCAAACTCTCCTCTGCAAAAGCAAACTCTCCTCTGCAAAAGCAAACTCTCCTCTGCAAAAGCAAACTCTCCTCTGCAAAAGCAAACTCTCCTCTGCAAAAGCAAACTCTCCTCTGCAAAAGCAAACTCTCCTCTGCAAAAGCAAACTCTCCTCTGCAAAAGCAAACTCCCCTCTGCAAAAGCAAACTCTCCTCTGCAAAAGCAAACTCTCCTCTGCAAAAGCAAACTCTCCTCTGCAAAAGCAAACTCTCCTCTGCAAAAGCAAACTCTCCTCTGCAAAAGCAAACTCTCCTCTGCAAAAGCAAACTCTCCTCTGCAAAAGCAAACACACTGTAAAAGCAAACTAGCACTGCAAAAGCAAACTCGCGCTGCAAAAGTAAATCGAGACAGCCTGTCAAAATACAGTTTCTGTGCTCCGTACTGTGTGTCAAGCTCTGCCTTATAAGGGCATTGTGCAGCCTGCTTTCTAACATTGTTTGCCGTGAAGCAGTTTGTTAATGCAGGGGCGTCGGAAGGTATTTTTAGTGTGGTACGGTCAGCCTTCTGAGATACAGTGTACTCCTGGGGAGAGGGGTTGCTGAGCAGAAATATTTGGAAATCGTACGCACTGCCAGGCTCCCGCGCGGGCCCCACGCAAGCATTCGCAACCGCGATGCGCGTACGGCATGCCGTATAAGACACCTATCCGCCTTGGGTGCAAGCTCACCCAAGGCCACCCTCGCAAGGCAGGAACAAGTAAAGACTTTCACCAGTTGTTTGTTGTGCCTGCCCGCCGCAGAAATTGTTTGAAATTGTCTCTTCTCCGCTCTCAGCGATAGTCTTACACCCACAATGGCTTTCTGGAAGGCACAAAGGGAGTCTATCCAGCAAATCGTGGCAGCCAGCGTGGCAGCAGCCCTCAGCGGCAACGCACCGGAGAACGTCACGGAGCACCAAGAAGACGGTGTGCGTGCTGATGAATTCCTGCACCATACGAACATGGGTTACCCCTCCTGCATTTCACACGTCTCAGTGGAGACAGTCGATCGGATCAGACGAATCGAGTATATAGATCTGGCAATACTGCTCCCGCCCAAATCTATTTCTACCAGGGAGCCAGCCCCTAAGAGGCTCCGCATAGACGAAGAAGGGGCACTTTCGGTGACAAGCGCACCGAAAGGAAAAATTGAGAACCTTGCCTCGTGGACCGAGGCATGGTCTATTTTTAGCCTGATCGCCATCCGCGATCAACCTTGCTGCGCCGCTGCACTGATGCAGCATCAAACATACATGGTATAGGCAACCGGGAAGTACCTCTTCTCGGCAGTCGTGGACTATGACACGCGGGCACGCCGGCACCTGTCAAAGGACCCAAGCCGATCCCTGGCGGAGCTCGACACGGAGCTTTTCGCGACGTGTTTCACGGGACAGGCCCTCCCCAATTGCAGCATTTGCAAGAAGGTGGGGCACTTGGCCGGAGCATACACCTCGGCCTTTCGCGGCAAGCAGGCGAAAGAGAGTGCAAGCACTAAATCAACCTGAATCTGCTGCCGCTACAATCACGGAGCCTGCAGCGGCCCATGTCGCTTTCGACACGCCTGCCTTTTCTGCTCAGGCTCGCACGCCATGTCAGCCTGTCCAGCCAAGAAATAAGAGCGAACAGCAATCAGCCCCGGCACCACTTTCTTGCATTCACCCACCCCCTAACACCCCTATGAACATTGCATTACACCCCAACACCCCTATCAATATTGATGCATCACACACTGAATTGCTGGCGCACTCTAATCCTGCATTTGTTCATTCTCTAATTAGCAATTTACGTGCCGGCTGTTGTATCGGGTTCGCCGGACCCCGTGATGTGTCCTTACGCAGCCCGAACTTGTCTTCAGCGGCAGCACACCCCGAGGTCGTCGACCAATACCTGGCCGCGGAATGCAGTAGCGGCCACACAGCTGGCCCCTTCAACACGCCGCCATTCGTCCGTCTGCGCACCTCTGGCGTAGGTGTGGTCCCCAAGAAGTCGGGCGGCCACCGGCTCATCATGCACCTGTCCGCCACCGATGGGAACAGCGTCAATTCCTTCATTGACAAGGAGGCCCACCGTTTCTCTCTAATTACGATTGACACGATAGCAGACCACGTGCGCAGGACGGGCCCCGGAGCCCTCCTGTCAAAGGTGGACCTGAAGCACGCTTTCCGACTCTGCCCCGTGCACCCCGACGACTGGCCGCTCCTCGGCATGTTGTGGAAAGGCAACTACTATTTCGACACTGTCCTGCCATTTGGCCTACGCTCCGCTCCCAGTGTGTTAAACTGCCTGGCTACCGCCCTAGAATGGATCCTCCGTAAGAACTATAGTATCCCTGCACTGGAGCACTATTTGGATGACTTTGTCTTAGTGTCTCCAGCAGCCGACTCTGTCATGTCCTCGGCGGCCGCGTCCCACAAAGCCACTATTCTGCAGGTCTTCACAAAACTGGGCGTCCCAACAGCAGACGGCCCGGACAAAGTTGTTGGCCCCGCCACCTGCCTCACAGTGCTTGGCATCGACATTGATTCAGCGGCAGGGGAGCTGCAGCTCCCAGCCGAGAAGCTCCGTATATTGCGGCAACTCCTCGCAGCCTGGGCCATCCGGTCATCAGCGTACAAACACGAACTCCAGTCCCTCGTTGGCCACCTGGCGTTCGCCGCCAAGGTCGTCCCAGCCGGTCGTACGTTCACTCGCCGCCTCATCGACCTGTGTTCCTCGGTCACCAGCCCTGGCGCGGCCATCTGGCTCACCAACGAGGCTCTCGCCGACATCAAAATAATGGTGGCAGGATTTCCTCCCACTACGGAACGGAAAGGCCTTACTACGCGACCCCGTTTGGTTAAAGTCTTTACCAGGGTCGTTGGTCCGCGGGCACATGGTCAGCGGCGGAGCAGGCCCCACCTTACACGTCCATAATGTGGAGAGAGATGTGGCCCATCGCCATTGCCTGCCAACTTTGGGGCCTCCACTGGGCACAGAAGAAGATTCTCCTGCACTGCGATAATTCAGCAGTGTGCACTGCCTGGGAGTCCGGCACATGCCGACACGCCGGGGTCATGGCACTGATATGCAGCACCATGCAGCTCGCCGCTCGCCACAACTTCTGCCTGGTCGTCCGTCACATCGCCGGCGTCGACAAAAGCATCGCAGACGCACTCTCCCGGGCCCAGTTCAAGCGCTTCCGCCGTCTGGTACCCGACGCAGAGACTGCCCCATCATCACTCGCAAGTGCGCAATCCGACAACAAATAGTCGCATCCGTCTGCAGTTGGCCAGGCGCTCCCGCCGCCAATTCAAGCTCCCGGCTATCCCAGCCACCACTACGTAGGCTCGCCGTACGTCCGTAGTCCCCCCAGCCCAGCATCTCTGCTCTTTTCTTGTTGTTTTGTTTCCCCTACTCTACTTACCCACCTACAATTTCCGCTGTCAATGATTATCCATGCCCTCGCCGGGGCGAACCCTTCATGGTCTATCTTACCACTCTGTGTGCTTAATGGGCTTATCCGGCCCCTTAGAACCCCGTTTTATTTTTTGGGAGGAATGGGGACCGACACCCCGCATGCCCCGAACCGGCGACCGCTGTACTCGGGGGCGCTCCATATGTACGCGACACGCGTAGCCCGCATGGCGCAAACAAAATAATGGCCAGGCACCGTGTTGCCATGCTACCGAGGCAAATTGTAGAGGGTGTTAAGCCTACCTAGCAGGTTGTATGTTTGCCCGTATACACTAGGGGCACGGCTCCGCGAGCCTGACCTGCTCGCTGTATTGTGCTCTGCGTGTATATCCAGGCTCGCAAGCCGCGCGCATAACACCCCGCCGGATGTCCACCTCCCGCCGGAGGATCGCCTACAGACACCACCGCTGCAAGCAACGGCTCCGCGAGCCAACGCTTCGCCGCCCGCTATCTATTGTTCTGTGTGTCTATCCAGGGGTGCTAGCCCCGCTCGCATTACATCCCGCCGAACATATAACTCCCGCCGGAGAATTGCTTACAGACACTGCCGCTGCAAGCTACGGCTCCACCGAACCAAGGCTTCGCCGCCTGCTGTCTGTTGTTCTGTGTGTCTGTCCAGGGTCGCCAGCCCCGCTTGCATAACATCCCGCCGGAAGTCGACCTCCCGCCGGAGGATCGCTTTCCGCCGCAAGCCACGGCTACGCAAGCTAACGCTTACGTGCCACCCCCATGCGTCCACCCGCAAGGCTAAGTACCTATGGATTAGGCCAATAGCAGAGGCTCCCACCCCACGGGTCTGGGGGAGGGGGGCTCTCGGGTCGTATTTGCATTAGCCCCACAGGATGAGGGCAAACCTCGGCCAAACCAGTACAGGAACGCCCCGGCGAGGTCAGGGGGGAGATCTCCCACTAGCATAACCCACGGGTCCCCTGCTTACAATCCGCAGCCACGCCGCCGGGCCAGTGTGTTCCGGGAAGCGGGCCGCTGTTCAGCGACCCCGCGCAGCACGCATACACCGCAGCTTGGCCGCCGTACCATCCTGCCTATTTAGAAAACATGCGTGTGTGCGGGTGTATGCGTGTGTGCGTTTGTATTGCATGCGCTTGTGCCTGTGTCCTCCTAGGCTCGCTAGCCGCCGCTCTCTCTCAGCGCGAGCAGAGCACCTGATTGCCAACTTGGTAGCCACTGGCACACAGCGCATGTACGCCCCAGGCTGGCGTCATTCCTGGAGTTCATTGGTCGCATGCGCCGCGACGCACATCACCCAGATCAGAGCGACGTCCTGCTGTTCGCTGCTGCAATGTCTCACTCAGTCAGCGCCAGCACTCTGAGAGTCTACCTGGCCGCGATCAAACACCACCTCCTCCGCATCGAAGGCCCGGTCGGGGTTACATCCTCAAGCCGCATCACAGCCCTGCTCAAGGGCTTAGAGAGGGAGAGAGCGTCGCTTCCCAGGCGTCTGTCAACATGCCCTCAGCGCCAAGCGTTCACCGTCCACCAGCTGAAGGCTCTCCGCCAGTTCTTGGATCGGTCCCTGTACTCCCCGGCAGACAGACTACTGCTATGGGCTGCTCTTACGACAGCCTTCCACGGCCTGCTTGCGTGCGAGTGAGTACACGTCGCTGTCACCACACGGTCCCGGCGGCCTCAAGACACTGAGGCGCGAGCACCTCCGGTTAGCCCAGCAGGAGGCCTCTCTGCAGCTCTAGAGGACGAAGACGTCTCAATTAACAACAGGTGGGGAGGTAGCGCTGCATCGCTACGCTGACTCCGCACTATGTCCCGTCCGAGCCCTGCAGGCTTACGTTCGGTCCAGCAAATTGAGCAATGACAAGCAACCCCTATTCAAGTTTCAGGATGGTCGCTATCTCACGCCGAACGGCATCAATGCTGTCCTACACAAAGTGCTAGGTCCAAGCATCAGAAGCTATTCCTTACGCGCCGGGGGAGCCACACACATGGCGGATCGAGGCGCACCAGAGTATGCCCTGATGGCTGCAGGCCGCTGGTCCAGCAGGGCACATCGCACGTACATTCTCAGGCCCGCAGGCATGCCACAGCACTACTAGAGCCTGCGTGTCGCAAGCCATTCGGTACCTTTATTGGAGGCACGGGTGCTGCCGGTGGGCGCTGCATAGTGCACGTACATCGGCACCATTGAACTATTCATGAGTACTAAGATTTAGTGTTCCGCTGCCATAGCAACCTAGTAGTACACGTAGCCGTTGCGACGGCGCAGGACCCCGCGGGTCACTTCTGCTGTCCTTGCCTCTCTGATGTGTGATATGTGTACATCATTTATAATCATAACCTCATACTGAGTACATGTACGTCATACTTGATTACCGATCACAGGCTCATGATTATTCACACTGGAATAAACGCTTGCGACACCCCACATGCTCGTCTGTTACGGGGTATTCACACGACAGGCAAATCCACGTGCACCGGAAAGTTGCTATGGTATTTTATGGGGTATTCACACGACAGGCAAATCCACGTGCACAGGAAAGTTGAAGGGAGTGACATACGAAAAGTGACTGTGTGGATTCACACAGCTGCACTTGACGACAGGCACGTTTGCATTTTTGAATGCTTCACCGACCAGTAGCCATGGGTATTTCAAATTTTCAAAACACACATACGATAATTATCATGCTCTAAGGAGCCGCGTAAAAAATCAAGTCTTGTTTCGCGCGCTTTGGTGTAAATGTACTCGTGCACGCCACGATTATCGTGAAAGTGGGCCCCCAGCTCGCTTTCACGTTTCAGCCACTTTCAGACACTTTTCTCGTTCACAGGTAAAATACCATAGCAACTTTCCGGTGCACGTGGATTTGCCTGTCGTGTGAATACCCCATTACCTGTGAACGAGAAAAGTGCCTGAAAGTGGCTGAAAAGTGAAAGCGAGCTGGGGGCCCGGCGCGCCCACTTTCACGATAATCGTGGCGTGCACGAGTACATTTACACCAAAAAGCGCGAAACAAGACTTGATTTTTTACGCGGCTCTTATAATCGTGATAATAGAGCATGATAATTATCGTATGTGTGTTTTGAAATTTGAAATACCCATGGCTACTGGTCGGTGAAGCATTCAAAAATGCAAACGTTCCTAGCGCCTGTCGTCTCATGCAGCCAGCTGTATGAATCCACACAGTCACTTTTCTCGTATGTCACTCCCTGTAAAACGTGCAAGTGCCTGTCGTGTGAATACCCCATACAGTTCTAGTCCATGTCAGGTCACAGCCTCACAGACACAGCGTCCCAGGGACTTCCCCTATCTAGCCCTGCTACATTAAAGGGGCACTCCGGCTTCATTTTCGACGCCGAGTTTTCGATGCCAAGACGAAGGTAGGTGAAAGAGAAGACCCCTCGAACAAGAACGAGTCTCCAGAAGCGATCGAGTCGAGCAGGAAGACGACTTTTGAATTTCGGCCGAGCGAGCGCTGATGACGTAATGAGGGATTAGCTTGCCAGTGGAAATGCATCTGCGCACATACATTTCACACACTTTTTTGCCAAATTTCAATCGAAGAAGAGGTTGTTTGCTATGTTCTCCCAACGCCGTGAGCGATCCCATCTTCTATACCCTTCCAGGTACCCTGAAGGTCCTCGAGAGGAGAATTTATCTCCATCAAAGCGTTGTTGATCCGCTAAATTCGTCTCGAGACATATTCACCCAGTGCAGTGCTGATAAATGTAGAATGTTGAATCTGTGATAATTGTCGACGATGGAGAGAGAGGCTGATAGTCGCTGTCGCAGGGAGAGTGAAGCTGCTGGAAGTAACAACGGGGAGCCCGTTTGTATCACCTGAACAACCAGACTTCAAAGCAGCTTGACCAAATCGGAGGGTGCCTCGTTGCTTATCGTGAATATTACACCGACATGAATTACTACAAGTATACTGGTGAGTTTTTATCTTGTTCTGTTCGTATGCTAGTACCCTGGCCTGGAGTTCTCGTTAGCAAATTCCTATTCCCTGGCGTTTTCTAAACATTCCGTGTAGGACTGAATACGTGATCAAGTATTCCGATTTGGGTAGATGTGGAATTTGGACATGTATTTTATTAAAAAAATTCTTTTCCAAATAGAGCGTTTGTAGAGAAATGGTTGCCCAAATACAACAAAATTTATTCTGCAGTTCTACAACTTGTACTGAAATCCAGTCAAAGTAAAGAATGATTCTTCATGACAGTTGGGGTCAATGAAATCTGATCTAGGCATAACGAATGGTGACACCTGCCACCCCGGGAACGAATGCCCATTTGGTGGGGGATACCAAAGTACTCGAAAGTAGTGTGTGTTTCAATGTGGCATGGACGTTTTATATGGTCTCTGGTCAATGCAACATACGATAGCCATCATGAATTGCAGGCCTCGAACGCAACTCCGACCAGAATTGGCAGTTCCCTAAGTTAGATGCTTTATAATTCCATGGCCCCAGCTGTAGTTATAGAGGGTTTTTTGCACATTATTCTTATAGTCGATAGGTTTATACTGATGGCCACAAACAACGGCAGTTTAAACTTCACTGATGTGTTCATGAGCTGAGAGATTTCTCTCCACTATTTCTGTTGTGCACACAGGTCTGTCCAATATGCATTGACCGTATTGGGTATGGTACCTGCTCTGAGAAGGGAATCGCTGGAGCCACAGTCCAATTATACAGGCTTTCAAGAAACAGAGAGGAGCCATCTTTGCAAGCTGGTACCTGATGTGTACCGACAGAATTCTCACGAGATACCTTACAGACTACGCCTGGTGTATACTTCATAGTACTCCTTTGACTACTGTCTAGAATCAAGTCGACTGAAACAAGTTCAAACAACTCTGGCTTCAAACGAGCCGTCGATTAGACAAACAAAACATTCTCTCATATACTAGAGCACTCTGACAACTCACGACCTATTCCTAACGATTGCCACCGCTTATAAATATGTAGAGTACTGATTGGAATGTGCTCACAATCTCAACAATTCAGTGCTATAATTATTTGAACTATGTGTTCCTTCCATAAATGTTGTATCCACATATAATCCACAGTGCTGCAAAGTTTCAGAGTTCTCAGGGTATCAAACAAACTTATTTCAAATACAGTGAAATTGTTCGTGGACATTATAGCGTAACTTGTAGTTCCCTGGTCCTTTTCTTTGCTATAAATTAATCCTTTGCTCTCTAGCCACCGGCGAGTCCAACAGTGAAATTTTTAGTTCATATTTATGTGGGGGGGGGGGGGGGTTGAACATATTTCTATATAAGGGACCTGCAACTGTAATACCACAGTACAGTAGATAGCAAATATGTAGAAAACAGAAATGCATGTTCCCATCATTGTACATGGACGGGCGCAGCAGGCCGAAGCTATCAGCCAGAACAGGATTTACAATCGCCTAGCGATACTTGAGCTATTCCAGTATTCTCCGTGAGCTGTCCCATTCCACAATGGTTCATGCCACCATTATTTCTGGTAGTATCCATGTGCATAATTCCACGGCCATCTCGGATTCTTCAGCAATTTGTGCCACGGCAAAAGACAACGCTTGACTCGGTCACTGGGTCTGTCAAACTTCGCATCACAAATGAACTTCAATTTCTCATCTGGTTCAAGTATATGTACTGCCATGACTTGACCATGCTTCATCCACAGCTGGGCGAAGATTGTGGCGTTGAATTCCATAGCGCACCCTCTTACTGCCATGCAGGAGTATGTTGAGAGAAGGGAACATATTTTTAATAAAAAAACAACAGCCCTGAAGAGGATAGCATTAGCAATAGCCTTGGGTGAATTTCCTGCAGGTACACGTTGTTGGTAGGTCTACTGGTCCGTCTCCATATCGTCAAGTTCAGAAATCACCTGTACTACACATCTTGTAGAAGGGATCCTGATCGAATAATTTTCTGATCGTAAAATTCACTAAACTGAGGGCGAGACAAATAGTCAGATTCCGTCTAGCTGCTTTGATCAAGTGATGCTAACAAGCTCCCCGTTGTTACTTCCAGCAGCTTCACTTTCCCTGCGATAGCGGCTATCAACCTTTCTGTCCATCGTCGACAATTATCACAGATTCAACATTCTACATTTGTCAGCACTGCACTGGGTGAATATGTCTCGAGACGAATTTAGCGGATCAACAACGCTTTGCTGGAGATAAATTCTCCTCTGGAGGACCTTCAGGGTACCTGGAAGGGTATAGAAGACGGGATCGCTCACGACGTTGAGAGAACATAGAAAACAACCTCCTCTTCGATTGAAAATTTGCCAAAAAGTATGTGAAATGTATGTGCGCAGATGCATTTCCACTGGCAAGCTAATCCCTCATTACGTCATCAGCGCTCGCTCGGCCGAAATTCAAAAGTCGTCTTCCTGCTCGACTCGTTCGCTTCTGGAGACTCGTTCTTGTTTGAGGGGTCTTCTCTTTCACCAACCTTCGTCTTGGCATCGAAAACTCGGCGTCGAAAATGAAGCCGGAGTGCCCCTTTAAATTTGTGTGTGTCTAGCTCCTCCACTGCACACGTACAATGTCTACGATAGTCATGCAGTCTGTCATCACGTGACATCACTACAATCATGCAGCACCTGCTTGATCCATTGATTTACGGGTGTGATTCACCGCTAGCGCTGCAATCTGGAGACAGAGCCTCAGAGTCAGAGGGATTATTTTTTGACACCAAGAGTCAATGAATGTCACATGACAAATCCGAAGTGGCATGTGTGCACAGCCACACGGCTGTTACGACACTCGACAGTACAAAAGACTTGGTTGTTGTACAGGAGATAGCTAGCCAGTGCTCGCTGGGTCGCTGCTGTTACGATCACGTGAGTCAAGCAGTTCGCGTACTGCACAAGTATGTTTAGTTAGTTCACCTGTCTGGCGCCACGGACCTTGCCGTGCTGGGCAATGATTTTTTTTATCACAGGGGGGGGGGGGGAGGGTCGGATACACAGCCTCCTTTACTAGTAAAATAAGGACAACGAATGTAGCGGAGGATACACACAGTGTGCTGACAGTGATCCACACGGCGAAGTCAGAGTGTAATACTAATACTGTAATAGAGGACAAGAGAGGCAATCAATCACGGCTTGTTTGCTCATACATGTACAGGTGCATGTAGTTAAAGTTTATTCATTGCTTTCACTATCATCAGACAACGCTGCCTGTTGATAGTGAAAGCAAATGAATAGGCGACGAGGAGACAGTAACTTTATTAGGGCGATAAATAGTATAATTGAAGCGGACATTAGGAAATGATCAATGAGAATACATGTACATGTATGTGACAAAAGAGAGAGATTGGAAGATTTGTTACAACTCTGAGTTTCACCTATTACTACCATCATCAGACAACTGATGGATCCAAAACAGGCAGACAGAACATAAGGGGGAGCAAGGTGGGAA